CAAGGCTAGCGGTGGATTCTTAAATTCAACCTCTTATCTCCCTGATAGTGTGAGGCAGCGGTTCTCAGACCCAGAGCATTGATCCAAGGCTTCTGATCTAGTAGGAACGGGGTGGAATTTTCTGACAAATTGTGTGATGGTGATCGGAGGAACCACACTGTGAGATCCCTAGGTTAAGCCAATGTATACAGAGCCTTGCCCTGTCCTGCAGATTAGTTGTCCAGGGTGGCCCAGTCAGAGGAGAACACTGTTTATTTGTTCACGTGTTATTGGCTTTTTTTTTTTATCTTTGCTTAGTTTCTTTTTTCTTTAAAAAATCTTTTTTAGTTGTAGATGGACATAGTACCTTTATTCTATTTATTTATTTTTAGGTAGTGCTGAGGATTAACCCCAGTGCCTCACACATGCTAGGCAAGTTCTCTACCACTGAGCTATAACTACAGCTCCTGTTGTTGGGATTTGGGGTGAGTGCATAAAAGAAAGGTTATTCTCTTTTTATTTTGTCTCTCCAAGAAATTTATCTCTTCTGATCAAATTCTATCTGCAATTCAGTGTCATATACTTATAATCCCAGCTACTCAAGTGGCTGAGGCAGGAGGATAGCAAGTTCAAGGTCAGCATGGACAATGTAGCAAGATCCTGTCTCAATAAGTAAAAAAAAAAAAGAAAAACAGCAGTGGCACACGCCTGTAATCCCAGTGGCTCGGGAGGCTGAGACAGGAGGATCGTGAGTTCAAAGCCAGCCTCAGCAATGGCAAGGAACTAACCAATTCAGTGAGATGCTGTCTCTAAATAAAATAATAATTTAAAAAAATGAGCTGAGAATGTGATTCAATGTTCAAGTGCTCCTGAGTTCAATCCCTGGTAACCCCCAACCCCTGCAAAATAAATAAATAAATAAAAATACAAACAGTTGGGGATATAACTCAATGGTAGCTTGCCCCTGGGTTCAATCCCTAGTACGCGCCCCCCCCCAAAAAAAAAGTAGGCTTGGGATGTGCTCAGTGGTAGAGTGCTTGTCTTATATACATGAGGCCCTGGGTTCAATCCCCAATACTAAAAAAAAAAAAAAAAAGAATCTTCAACTCAAGTCTTCTACTTCCTTGTGTCTTTAAAACCTGTATTTATTAAGCCAGTTATATTATTACTTACAAAACAAAACATTAGAATTGAAACAGAACCAGAGGTAAATATTTACTAGAATGACCTGGATAAAATCAACTTTGCACATCCTAAGTTCATGTTTAGATGAGTGAGTGGTTGGGTCACTAGGAATTAGACTCTCATTTACCTGACAGCGGCTCACTTGTCACCATCTACAGCTCTCTAAGATCTGGAGGGACAACTGAGCATAAGCAGGTGGGGAGTTCTACTGACAGTCTACCCTCCCTGCTGGAAACCTACCCACCATACTCTTGAATACAGCTCTGCACCCCAAATGCCACCCCAGGGCCCTGACTGGGGTCCAACATGGTTGGTGTGGTCCATGAAGAGCCTCCCCCCCTTATCAGCTGCATCCTTCCTGCAGAGGAGAAATCCAACCCTGGAGAGAAAGTTTCCCTGGGGCAGGGGGAAGCCAAGGGCAGCAGCCCCTACCTGCCTTCTCCATATGACTCCCTCCTTTCCTTTTTCTGGGACAGTTGTAAAGAATGCTCAGAGTTAACCGCATATGAAAGTCCATCTTAAAAAACTGGTTCCAGGCTGGGCATGGTGGCCCACTCCTGAAATACCAGCAACTTGGGAGGCTGAGGCAGGAGGATCGAAAATTCAAACCAGTCTGCAAATTTGTGAGACCCTGTCTCAAAATAAAAAGGGATGAGGATGTAGTGGTCGAGTCCCGTGGGTTCAGTCCGCAGTAGCACAAAACAACAAAACCTGTCTGCTTCTGAGACCAGGACGGAGCAAACATGAGCCTGGCACTGCACAGGGTAGAAGCCAGGAGAATTACATGGAGAGAGGCTGTGGGAGAGTCGAGCCAGCCAGAGGCGCCCCTAGTGGCCAAGCCTGGAACCACATGAGCAATAAAGCCAGAGTACCTTCAAAACAGAAGGCCTGTGGTGCCCTAAGAGCCTAGGAGAGGTGGTTCTTCCTTACAAAAATGTTCCTTTAGATGAGCTAGATACGAGGGGAACAGAAAGTCAACATTAGGCAGATAAAACAGTAGTAATTGCAGCAAGCAAGGTCTCCTAAGGGATGCCAAAAATAGTGGGAAACACTCCTGAGACGCATTATTTTCAGTTTCAAATATCTCTCCAGATACTTGTTTTGTTTTTTTGTCTTTTTTTTGTGTGTGTGAATAAAAAGGAAAAATAGTAACTTTCAGTGTCAAACTTGATCCAAGTTTAAAACATCAATTTTGTGTTCCCAGAGACTACACACCAAGGACACAGGTGACATCTGTGCTATTCTTGCCCACAATGTGTAACATCATTCTAAGCATGGGAAACATCAGACGTGCCCTGTTGCAGAGGACTGCAAGATGGCTGAGCAGTGCCCCTAAAGTGTCCCACTCCCAGAAGACAAGGGAATTGTGAGAAACGGTCCACACGGAGCTGCTTAGGAGACCCAGCAAGTAGAGGCAGCATGGGACCCTGGAGTAGCCCAGAACAGGAAAAGGACGGGGAGGAGAACTGGAAGTCTGTGGTTTAGTTGACAGGACTGTGCCAGAATTGAATTCCTGGTCTTGATGTTGTGCCTTGGTTACATAAGATGTTAGTATTAGGAGAAGGTGAGCGAAGAGTAGATGAGAACATGCTGTTACTTCTGCTTTGTTTTTGCACCGGGGATTGAACCCAGGGATACTTAACCACTGAGCCACCTCCACACCCTTTTTATTGTTTATTTATTTGTTTAATAACTTTAAAAATATGTGGTGCTGAGGATCAAACCCAGTGCCTCACATGTGCTAGGCAAGTGCTCTATCACTGAGCCACAACCCCAGCCCTTATTTTTTATTTTGAAACAGGGCCTTGCTAAGTTGCTTAGAGCCTCGCTAATTTGCTGAGGCGGCCTTTCAATTTGCAATCCTCCTGCCTCCGGTCCCAAGCTGCTGGTATTACAGACTTGTGTCACCACGCCTGGCACTTTTACAATGTTTATGTTTAAAAAAAATTCTAAAATTGTTTCAATATAGAATAAATATGTATGAATGTGTATGTACACAGACACATATATACATACATGTACATACAGGTGGGTTTGATTAAACAGAAAACTTGTCACTCTCCTGGGCAGGGTGAGCATTCAGCACTGGGCTGACCTCATGTCTCAGGAAGGTCAGGCTGGTGCCAGGCAGAATAGAGTTCCTTTGGTAGAGTCCCAGCTCTGAGCCCAACTCCACCAACTGTTCAAGAACAAATGCCCTGAGCAGGAACACATTTGGCAAGCTGGAGGGTCAGTAAGGAGGCCTGAGTCAGGGAACCTCTCCCTGGGCAAGAGGAAGATGGCAGGTTTGGGCAGGTGGCAAACGATGAGTATGACGATGAGGCCTCACTGGGTCAGGTTGCAGGAAATGCACTCACCTCCCAGATGCTCTCATTACCATCTTATTTTATTTATTTATTTTTTTAGGTTTCCCTTGAGAACCTGTGCAGCATTAACTAATATACTGCACTTAAGTCCCACCCATGTCCTCTGACCCCCCCATCCTTTCCTCAGCCTCTCACAGTTTATGGTGGCTGGTGCCTGATTTGCATTTTCAGGGTCACTGTAACAGAACAGACTGAAAGTGTACCATTTCATGGTGTGCATGTCTGTTGATTCCAAAAGCCACAAGAGGGACCAGCAGTGTTTTCTGATTATGCCTTCCTGTAACTTTTATTTATTAAACAACCCAGTGACCAATCTCTCTCTCCCACTAAGCCTGGTAAACTTTTTCTTTAAATATTTTTTGTTAGATGTTGATGGATCTTTATTTTATTCATTGATTTTATATGTGGTGCTGAGAATCGAACTCAGTGCCTTACAAGGCAAGCGCTCTACTACTAAGCTACAACTCCAGCCCTAAGCCTGGTAACCTTAAAGACAAAGATTATATTCCACAAATCGTTCAAGAAAATGCCAGAGTGTGGCTTGTTTTGTATTTGGACCAAAGTTTTCATCTGTAACTTTTTATGACTTATTGAATTTATGATTGCCGTGTGTGTGTGTGTGTGTGTGTGTGTGTGTGTGTGTGTTGCTGGGATTGAACCCAGGACCTCACACATGCCAGGCAAGTGCTCTTCCATAGAGCATCACCTTGGCCCTATTTTCTTGTTTTCTTAGATAAGAGAACAGTGTGCTCTGTCATCTCCTCACATTTGTCCAGTTTCCTGTGCTAAATGATGCCCAGCACACCTGCCCTTCTCTGGAAAGTGTTCCTCTTAAAGCCCTCTGGACCTGCTGCCCTCAAAGCCCACTGACCTGTCATGGGGGGCCAGCATAGGCCTCCAGGTGGGCCCAGTGCTTGGCTGGCCAGCCGCTTTCTCCATTCAGGACTTCCCTCTGGGTTGGCTGGGTGAGGTCAAACACATCTTGAGAAGGAATGTCTTAGATCCAAAAAGTGCCTTTGACGTGCCTTCGTTAACTGGACACACATTTCCAGATCCAAGGTTTTCCTGCAGAATCCCAAGGCAGGACTCTGTGGCCTTGCCGAGGATGCTTTGACTGTCACCCCTTCCAGGAGTCTGTGCCTCTGGGCTCCTTGCTTTATGCTTGATATTCTGAAGTCTCACTGGAGGAGTGGAGACAGGCACCTGTGCTCAAGGGATCTTTTCACTTCTACAGATGAGTTTGGGTTTTGTCCCCTGGAGGGACTTCCTCCGTGTTGACTCAGCTCTCTTTCTGCAGACTCTTTATATCTGATGTGGAACATTCTGGACGGGTCCCTTATCAATGGGACTCTTATCAACTCTCATCTGATTTCTCTTTTTCTTCACTTCCTTCTTTCCTTTTCATGATCTTTTTCTAGGTCCTAAAAGAGTTATTTGTTTTTGTTTTTGTTTTTTTCTTTTTGAGTCAAGGTCTGGCTCTATTGCCCAGGCTGGCCTTGAACTCCTGGGCTCAAGTGACCCTCCTGCCTCAGCCTACAACTGCTTTCACCTCCCAAGTGGCAAGGACTCCAGACACCACAGCAGGTGTGTTTGTCTTTATTTTATAGCCCCTTTGATTGGCCCTTTTATTACCATCATTTTTTTTAAAGTCTCTTCTCCTTTAAATCGACTTAATTGAAATTTAATGTACATGAAATGAGATGGTTCCAATTTAAGGTACATATTTTGGCAAGTATATACAGTTGTGTAATCACAACCACAGCAAGACAGAGGACGTTTCCGTTACCCGAGAGGTTTTCTAGGCTTCCCCACCCTCAGCCTCAGCCCTGGGCAAACCCCAGATCTGCCTTCTGTCACTGTAAATCAGACTCAGCTCTCTAGCTTTAGTCTCATCAGTGGGATCATGCAGCATGAGCTCTTGTATCTGAGTTTTGAGACACCCACGTTGCCTACATAATAGTTTGTTCCATTTTTATTGCTTGAGTGGTGTGCGCTGCATGGATTTGCCACAGTTTCCGTCTGCTTACCAGCCAAGGGAGAGTTGAGTTTTCCAGTTCCACTTTGAGCAATGCTGTTTTAAGCATTCCTGTGTATTAGTGTGGGCAGGCATTTTCATTAAACTTGGGCAGTGTCATGGTTTAGATATGAGGTGTCCCCCAAAAGCTCACGTGTAAAACAATGCAGAATTTTCAGAGGTGAAATGAATAAATTACAAGAGGTGTAACCCAATCTGTGAATTAAGCCCCTGATAGGAACTAACTGGGCAGTAACTGTAGGCAGGAGGGATGTGGCTCAGAGAAGTGGTTCACTGGGAGCGTGACTTGGGGGATTATAAGCAGAGCTAGCTCTCTGCTTCCTATTACCATGTCCTGAGCTGCTTTCCTCTGTCACAGCATTCTGTCTCACCTCCAGCCCCAGCTATGGAGTCCATCCATCATGGACTGAACCTCTGAAACTGTGAGCCAGAATAAACTTTTCCTCCTCTATGTTGTTCTTGTCAGGTCTTTTGGTCTCAGTGATGCAAAGCTGACTAAAACAGTCAGGTAGCTAGGAGTAGGACTGCTGGATGACGACGTATGTTTTTGGAGTTTTTTTGTTGTTGTTGTTGGTTGTTTTTTTTGTTTTGTTTTGGTTTTTTTTTTTTTGGTACTGGGGATTGAACTCAGGGGCACTCAACCACTGAGCCCCATCCCCAGCCCTATTTTGTATTTTATTTAGAGACAGGGTCTCACAGAGTTGCTTAGTGCCTCACTTTTGCTGAGGCTGGCTTTGAACTCACGATCCTCCTGTCTCAGCCTCCTGAGCCACTGGGATTACAGGTGTGTGCCACCACACCTGGCAGTAAGTATATGTTTAATATGGTGACAACGTGCTGTTCTGTTCACCATCCGACATTCCCTCCAGGGATGTCTGAAGGTTCCAACTGCTCGAGATCTTTCCCTTCACTTGGCAATGAATGGCCAGTTGGTTAAACGTTAGCCCTTCTAGTGGGGTGCAGTGGGCCCCCACATGCTCTGTGCTTCCGTTGAGATGGATGCTGATGAGCATCTCTATGTGCTCATTAGTTTTTGCTGGCTCTTTGGTGCAATGTCCATTTGTAACCCGTTTCTGAGCTGTGTTGTCTTCCTATTAGATTAAGAGTTCTTTGCACAGATGCTCTTCAACTTACAATGGGATTTTTTTCCAACAGACTCATTGTCACTTGGGAATACAGTCACGACTTCAACTACCAAATGCTTAACACTGCTCACTGTGGTGTCAGGTTGGTGCCAAGTGGGAATCCGAATCAGGAGAGAGGATCTTACCACACCCTGCCAGCCCAGGAGATCCGAACTGAACATCTGGTTTCCACTGGAAGTGCTCTTGTAAAGTGTTGTAAAGTTAAGCTGTCCTACATGGAACCATCCCACGCTGGGGACTCTCTGTATCCTCAGTACAAGTTATTTGAGATACATGTATTAAGAATATATTCTCCCAGGCTTGAACTTGCTTATTAATTTTGTTACAGATGCTTTTTGGAAAAAAAATATCATTTAAAAATTTTCAATGAAGACTTCTGTCAAATTTTTATGGCCCGTATCCACGAAACATTGATTTTTCAAAAACTCTTTCTCGCATAATTTTTCCTTCTTCACAGCATCTGATTCTTGTTTTAACATCTTAAAACAAGATCTTTTTTTAAAAATTTTTTTTCTTTGTAGACAATACCTTTATTTGATTTATTTACTTTTTATGTGGTGCTAAGGATTGAACCCAGTGCCTGTGCCTCACACATGCAAGGCAAGCGCTCTACCACTAAGCCACAATCCCAGTCCCTTAAAACAAGATCTTAATCTCAACAGCTCAGGAGGCTGAGTCAGGAGGATCACAAATTTGAGGCCAGCCTCATCAAATTAGTGAATCCCTGTCTCAAAAAAAAAAATTAAATTAAAAAATAACAAGGAGATGTAGCTCAGTGGTTAAACATCCCTGGGTTCAATCCCCAGTATAAAAAAAAATCTTGGAACAAGAATATTTTGGCATATTTTGGCAAGTATATACTGAGGTATTACTTCTAAGATATTACTTCAAATCTCCCTGAAGAGTTCAATTAGGATATTTCCAGAGCTCTCCTTTGTCTCCTGGTCACATCTCTTGATCCTTCTCTTTCCTAATGCCAGTTCCCTTGGATCTTCCACTTAGGGACAAACACTCGCTTAACTATTCCAGGTGACTGGGTTTCCTCCACGGGCCTCTCTCCTCAGTAGAAAGGTTGACTAGTGCTCTTTATCCAAGGCTGGTTTCCAGGTGTCCATTCTTGTGAGCTGTGGAAAGTTGGGGTGCTGGGAGTCCCCCCCAGGGCAGGAGCAAAATGAAAGGATTGCTTGGGAAGCCCCAACCTGCTCAGAAACCCTCCCACGCCAGTTGCCCTGCCTTTCTGGAGAAGTGGATTCTGGCTGTGGCCAGGGAGCCAGCCAGCTGCCACTTGCTCAGGGCCAGGGGAGGGGAGGGAACAGCTGCTCCAGCCAGGTGCTGGACCTGCCCCCTGAGCCCAGACCCCTGGGAAGACTAGGACTCTGCTCAGCCCGCAGGGTGCCTATTCTGGGATGCACTTCCTCCATGCCACCCACTCATGCATTCTATAGCTTTCCGCCTTCCCCAAATTTGTGGCACCTCGCCCCTCTCTCCACCTACATTCTTTCTGTGCTTCTCCATGAGTCATCGAAGGGTCACAGATGGAAAGGGGACACTTCTCTGGACTCATTCTTCCCCTTGCACTGAGTGCTGACCTCTGTGCACAGGGCAGAACATCCAGGTTCTGTTAGGCAGGAGAGGAGATTCTAACACCAGTCTCTAGGACCCACTTGCATGAAAATATACGCCTGTGTTCATAAAAGAATGACAGGGTGGCCAGAGGAGTGTTTGCAGAAGGGCCTCTGGGTGATGAGATTCAAGTGATTTCTGTTTAAGAGCTTGGTGTGATGTGGTTTGCCTGGTGACTAAGGCCTCAGGCCAGGGAGTCCCTGGCGTTGGGTGTGTGCTAGATCTGGAGATCTTCCCAGAGTGAAAGGGGCAGTCCATCTCTCTAAGAGATGTGTCCTTGCCTTCACAGAGCTGTTCTGGACAAAGACACCAAAGAGTGCAAGACCTATAATAGAAAATGCCCAGTACACGAGGGCTATTGCTATCTTATTTAAGATAAAAAAAAAAAAAAGTGGTAAACATTGAAGATCATTGAGCTTTGAACAAATGCCTTTCCTGGACACCTTCCAAGCTAAGTTGGCTGTGCACATCAATACTGCCAGAGAACTGGGCTGATCAACTCCTGGGGTTAATTCTAGGGGAAATTTTCATCCAGCTGTTGGTTACTTGGATTTGAAAAAAAATAAAAATAAAAAAAAAAGAAGTTTCAAATTGTCTTATTTCTGTGAAGATTTCAATGAAACTAAAGAAAACACGTGGTCTGGGATGGCTCCGTGGTACAGAGCTTAGCATGTACAGACCCTGGGTTCCATTCCTAGCACCACAAATAAGAAGAAAAAACAGTGTAGACATCTTGTCCAAATGAGACCACACTCTGTCCATCTGTAGGTTTGGCTGCAGTGCACACGTAGATTCTGGCAGATTCCATCTGTCTGCCATCTTATCACCAACAAATATGAAAATAGGGCCCCTTTCTCCTGCCTGGCTCCCCTGGTCCACAGCACCAAGAGTCAGGTAAGAGTTGCTCACTGAGACCTGAGGTTTCTAATGCAAATGTTGGTCAATCTGCAGTGAGACTGTCCTTCCCAGGAAGGGAAAATGAAAGCTGCCTGAAGGTTTGTTTATTTTTTAATATTTTTAGTTGTAAATGAACACAATACCTTTTTTATTTTATTTTATTTGGTGGGGCGTTACAGGGGATTGAACTCAGCGGTACTTGGCTACAGAAACCTCATCCCCATCCCTATTTTGTGTTTTATTTAGAGACAGGGTCTCACTGAGTTGCTTAGCACCTCACTGTGGCTGAGGATGGCTTTGAACTTGTGAGCCTCCTGCCTCAGCCTCCTGAGCCGCTGGGATTACAGGCATGTGCCACTGCGCCCAGCTCATTTTATTTATGTATTTATTTATTTGGTGCTAAGGATGAAACCCAGTGTTTCACACCTGCTAGGCAAGCGCTCTACCACTGAGCCACAACCCCAGCTCCACCTGAGGGGTCTTTTAGTGTCAGCTGTGACTTTGTCAAAGAAAGATTGACAATGCTGGCCTGTCATAAATCTTAGTTTTCTAAGTATGGGACAAGAAGAATCTTCTTTCCTAGTTTGGATATACACTGAGGGTTGTTAAAACAGGGAGAGGGGTCCCAGGACAGCAGAGGCTTGTGCTTTTTCAAAGAGGCCAGGTGAGGGACGCTGCCTCCAAGCTGCTCCTTGCTCTCTGTAGGTTGTGATGACACCTGCAACAACTTGCTTTTTGGAAATAAGATACTTCGGAACTCAATGTCACCAGAAAAGGCAGCGCAGTGGGACATGACTTTCTCCTTCCCTGAGCCAAGCTTTAACTTACGTGGCAATCTTTCTTTGGTTTCAGGTTTGCATATCATTTGCTCTAAAAGCATCTTTCCTGACATTCAGCCTCGGTGGCTCCCAGGATGCTCCAGCATCCAAAAATGACATCCTAGACAAGGACAGCCCACAAAATAAATTTATAGAGGCAAGGAGCCCAGTGTACAAACAGCCGGTCACTAAAATAAGCCTGTTGACACAAGTGGCTGGACTACTCAGCTACATCTGTAGCCCTTTTTGTTTTTTATTTTTTTAAATATTTGAAAACATTATTTAAAAAAAATAAACTTTATTTATTTTTATGTGGTGCTGAGGATCCAACCCAGTGCCTCATACATGCCATGTACTCTACCACTGAGCCAACCCCAGCCCCTTATTTTTTTTATTTGGAGACAGAGTCTCATGGGTTGCTGAGACTGGCCTTGAATTTGCGATCTTCCTGCCTCAGCCTCCCAAGTCGCTAGGATTACAAGTGTGCACCACAGCACCCAGCCTTGGATGAACATTTTCTTAGAGGCAGAAGTTAATCCCCACAAGTCCAGCCTGGGCACTGGGGAGGTGGCACCACAATGTGCACTGCCAGCCATGAGTGGGTCAGCACTTCACATGGTAGAGCTGTGCGTGAGGTCATGCATGTTGCTGTGCTCTGTTCTCCTGCGCAAAGGAAGAAGACACTGCTGCCTTGGGCAGTTCAGAGACAGATGGTCAGGACAGGGAACCAGGTGAAAATCCTGCTACCTCAGGGGACAGACAGAAATGAGCCATTTTTTTTTATGAAACACAGGCAATATTGTTTCATTAACCCCACTGTGATTTGTTTTCTCCTCTTTGAATCTTGCATTAGAAAGGAACAAAAGATTGATTCATACAACCTGAAGGAAACTCCAGAGAGTTTAATGCTAAATGAAAAAAGTTCACCTTGAAATGGCACACACCACCCGGTTCATTTCTATGATGTCGTGGAAATCAGAATTTTAGAAACTCAGGGCAGACAAGTGGTTGGGGTTTAAAGGACCACCGCAGTGAAGACTCCCTGGTGCATAAATGACTAGAAGTGAGCTGGGGGGGGGGGCACCTGAGTAGGACTGGCAGATAGATGTTCCCTGTCTGTG